GATTGGTGTTTAGTTTGGCTTTTGCTGCTACTGAAACGACTTTTATATAATTATGTTATTACAGCTCGGAATTACAGTGGGTTCTGCATATAAAGATTTTCTCTGGATTCGATGTTTCACTATTTAGTATCGAGTAAAATCAACAAATAATTATGGGTCAAACGAGGATGAGAGTATTTTAAAGTTGAAACATAGTTGCAGAACACTCATCAAAGCTTTAATAATATTTTGTTCATCTGGAACTTGAAATGTCCTTTGTGTATTGATAAGCAATTCATGCATGACTTTCATCCTGATTTGACAGAGGCTATATAAATCTAAAATACCAGTTTAAAAACTTACATTATCAAATGAACCAGTGTTGCCAGTATGCCTGATTCCGGAGATGATTCTTGATTGGGCAAAGTTAAACTAGACTGGGCTACTAGCAAGTCATATGTCGCAGGATTTGAGCTAGTAGTGAACTGGATATTTCAATGTTGTGTGCACTTTTTTCATCGTCGCTGTCACTTTCAACTAGAACCTACATATACAAAAAATAAATAATCTTACATTCGTATCGTAAACGTGAAGCTATAAGAACATATTTTGAATAATTGATGTCCGCTGTCGTGATTTGGCCATCAGCAAACAACAGTCGTCGACACGAAGGTGAAGAAAGTAAATAACATTTGCCAGAATTAGGCTAGTACAGCGCGAGACGTTTCTTGAACGTATTTTCCTAATAAATTGTTTATTTGTTCAAAATATACTGCAACGAACGAGGTTTTACGCTTGTATTTTATCCGTATCCCTCGTCGAAGCAAATCCCAACGGCCAACGTTCGATAATGGCGCCAAAAGTTAGTACGCATGCTCGAGAATGATCGCAAACCCGATTGCTTACGGGCGCGTGCATTCTCGTTCCCAGTTCCCGCGATCATTAATATTACACCTAGGCCTTCAATTCTCGTGATTAATTTTTACAAATACCGTATTTATATTTACGTTAAAATTACTAAAAATCTGGAAAACAAATTTCAATACCCTACAAAATGAAACATCAAATCTCACCTTGTATAATCCAAAAAACGTCCTCTTCTTTTTCTTTGCGACTGCGAGCATGTGCATTCTTTAAGTTTTATGCGGAAGTTAATTTGATACGATCATACGACGGACGATCGACACAATTAAGAGTCGATTTGACAGAAGGGTCGATTTGACAGAATTAAGACTGTCGATTTGACGGAAGGGTCGATTTGACACAATATTAATAGTCGATTTGACACAATTAAGAGTCGATTTGACAGAAGAGTCGAATTGACACATTTACGAGTCGATTTGACAGAAGGGTTGATTTGACACATTTAAGAGTCGATTTGACAAAAGGGTCAATTTGAAACAATTAAGAGTCGATTTGACAGAAGGGTCGATTTGACACATTTAAGAGTCGATTTGACAGAAGGGTCGATTTGACACAATTAAGAGTCGATTTGACAGAAGGATCGTTTCGACAAAAGGGTCGATTTTATTCCAGGGTCGATTTGACCTATGCGAGAGTCGTTCCGCGATGGAGAGCCGAAACGAAGCTCATAGGGGCCAAAGTGTTGATCAAAAGCGGCCCCTTTATGTGGGGCCAAAACAAACCCGGACGTGAGAGTCGTTTTGGTCTGTGGGGCCATATTGGCAATTGATGGGGCTAAATTGGAAAATGATGGGTCCGTTACGGCAAAGGGTAAGGCCAATTTGGCTTTCCTCCATACCTAAAATGGCTCCGTCGGTGCAGATACAGCTCTCCAATGCCAAAATGGCTTTCACATAGGGCCAAAACAGCTTTGGCTCCAAAAGGGCTGAAACGGAATTTGGGGTCAATTTGGCCCTTTTTAATTTACAGTGTACGACAAGTATATGAGAGAATATCAAACAGATAATTAAAAGACCAAAGGCGGAGCAGCTAAAAGAGCGTCCGACCCACATTGGTGAGATTAGAGGAATTGAGCTTGAGAGACAGCAGCAAAATTCAGCGAAGGCAGCTATATTGCAGTTATCTGATACTCTCACAAATACGACCATGAATTTGAATGTACATTATTAAATCACATTGACTTCTCAGTGGAAAATTTTCTCGACGACAATTTTACAGCGTAGTTAGTCGTTGTCTTGTTAATATCGTTGGATAAGATTGTAGAAATTTCGCTTTTTAAAACCAATATAGCCAAAAACTCACTATAAATGGTTATTAACCGAGAGCGAGGTCGGTACGGGAAAGTATTTGCCTGAGGTTTTCGTACGCCGGACCGAGCGACGAAGGAGCGAGTTCTGTGCGGATAAACCGTAGACAAATACATTCCCGTACAGACCGAACAAATTAAACGAGGTTAAAAAACCGTTTATTATATGGCTCCTTAAACACATTTTCTGATTTTCATATATTTGTTTGAGCGCTATAGAGGTATTTTTGAGCTATGTTTTATTCGCTAGTTTTCTTCGTTTAGATTTGGTTTCGTCATCGAATATTGTTTACGGAAAAGAATGTCTAACAATCGCATTAGAATTACTTTTTCGGTAAGCCACATCCCCAGAAAAAATGCTTATAAACCCAGTTTATATGATATTTGTATAGAATATGGTATTAAAGACATTACATTCATCTTTATTTATTTTTTGAAACAAGTAAACAAATCAAAACATTTTACCGCAAAACTTACGGTTGCCAGTAAGAGTTCAACCGGCTTGTTTTCTTAACTTTTTCGATGAAATTTTTGTTGATACAAGTATACTTATTAATATTTCCAAAACGTCTTATTCTTCAAATTGATCCAAGGATACCTTTTCTTCACACAACGACTTAAACGTGTAAATGAATCGATTCAAATTCTAACCTGTCAAATTGACATAGGGGAAACCGGCCGGATACGGGAAAATACGGACCACTGTCCGGATACGCATTTTACGAACCGCACGTCGACCAATCAGAATCCAGGATTCTGCAAAGCCATATAATAATAAGGGTTATTAATTAACCGCTTTTGAGCAAAAATCTTGTTCAATGGTCATTAATTAAGCTTGTCACCAAACGGCCAAAAATTGCCACCGGTAGATTCCTAAAACAAATCAAAATTCCCTGCTATTGACAAATTGCTGAAAGAAGCTTCTAATCAATCACTATCATCAAATTAAAATGGAAGTCTTCTAAACTCACTAATTAACGGCCTATATATATAGATATATATATATATATATATAGATATATATATATCTATATAGATATATATATATATAGATATATATATATATATATATATATATATATATATATATATATATATATATATATATATATATATATATATATATATATATATATATATAGTCAGTATATATATATATATTCAGTGTATAGTTCATAATTTCTAATCTTAAATCTGTCTGACCGTGTAGCTCAGTTGGTAGAGCGTCGATCTAGTAATTCGAAGGTCGCGGGTTCAAGACCCCAGCCGCGGCAGACTTTATCTTTCTGTTTACGCTGGGTATGGAAATTATGAAATACACACTCGATAACATTTTCTACTTATCATAAATATATATATATATATATATATATATATATATATATATATATATATATATATATATATATATATATATATATATATATATATATATATATACAGTGCTGTAAGTAACTTCGTTAAAAGTAACTAGTTACAAGTAATCGTTACATTTTCCAGTAACTGTAGCGGTAACTTGTTATATACATTTTGGGAACATGTAACTGTAACAGTAACTAGTTACAAAAATAGCTTAAAAATTCAAACGATTACAAATTTGTCAAACATCGTTACAAGTTACTTTTTTGGATTGAATCGTCGACCCGACATCGCATCCTCAGTTCAAATAATGCAAATATGTGCGCCCTGTTTACGTTTTGCCAACACGTCGGAACTAATCGGAATGCCTCGTTTATTCCCGGCCTGTCAATGTCTCGCGCGCTTATCGTCACGTGACTTAGTCACTAGCGCGCATTTAATATTATAATTTCGCAAATATGTCGAACGAAGATGGTGATTCCGTTACAGAAGATATTTCAATTCTTGAAGTTGAACAGTGCGAAGACGAAGAGCCAGAACCAACAAATGAGAACGTTAACGTGGGCCACCCGTGGCCATATCTTTCGATCCGATATGTTTGCTATAAAGTCAATAAGCAAAACGAATGCGAAGGTAACCTGTTTACTCTTTGCTCCCAAGTACAAGGAATGCAGTTCAAGTTTGTCTTCTTTGTCGAATTTGCGCACACACGTCAAGGTAGGGATCTTCCAAATTTAACAAACATAAATTCATAATTACTAATTAGTTACAAATAACTATGAATAGTTTTATTTTATTTACACCCGTTTTCAAAATTACGCGACCAACGACGAAAATGCTAGAGTTGACATGTCATTCGATCACGAAGTTCAAACTTTGAGTTTTGCGGTTCCTTGTCGATGTATATGCTTTGTATGTTTTATATAAACAGACTTACAATGATTTTCAAGATATTTTAGTGAGAATTATAGTAAAATTCAAGCAAAACAATATCATAACATCACCGTTATAGTCTAGCGCGCGTGTTTTATACTGACAGCTAAATCCCAGGATAAATTGTTATTTTTCAAACTTTAAAAGTCATTCACGGGACATATTTCTGTTGTGATGGTTTGTATTGTGCTTTAGTTTGTATATCTAAGATATCTGACTCATATTTGTTCAGTTTTGGTATTAAATACGGTTTAAAAAATCTTTAGACAGTTTGTTTACGTTTGCTATTTTTAGCAGTTCTTGTGACATAAAACTGACATTTGAAGTGGGAGTATTTTTCGAGGAGGTCGCGTAATTTTGAAAACGGGTGTAAATATGTATAACATAACATATAATGTTGTATAATTTTCCCATTACTATTATTGAGCTAATAGTATTTATCGAACTCTGGGGACGGAATGTGACTGCTATCAGTTATATGTCCTCTCAAGAATAAAAATCCCATCAGAATGAGTAATACTGTGAACAGGTCAGTTACATTTCGTTTATTGTGTTGGGGCACTCAACTCCCTATATCTGACCCCTTGATTATGAAAGATATTCCATTCTGTTGTTTAATATTATTGCATAATTCAACGCTTTAGAGAGTTCATCAACATAAATTATCTGCCTTCAACAAGCTATGTGATGAGGCTAAAACTAAAAGAAAAATGCCTTCAAGGAAAAGGAGTAATAGTGATGCCAGAGACAGTGGAGGACCATTTGCTCCTAAACAACAAAAGTTGGATGCTGTGCTTTCCTCTCAAGTTAAATATAATGCCAATTTGGTTACTCAAGCCCAAGTGGATGATTTGCTGATCAAGTTCATGACAGAAGCTCTTATGCCGTTCTCATTGGTTGAACAACCTGCATTTAAAGAATTTGTGTTAGGACTTCAACCAAATCGATCAGTAATGTGCAGAGCTACAGTGGTATGGCGAATCAGTGACAAAGCCAGTCTAGTGAAGAAAAATTTAAAAGAAGCCATGGATAAAGTTGAACATGTTGCAACAACTACGTATTGCTGGAGTGCTCATGGCCGTTCATTCATTGGTGTAACTGGACATTGGATTGATCCCGAGACTTTGGAGAGAAAAAGTTGTGTTCTTGCCTGTCGGCGTCTCAAAGGTAAACACATATATGATGTACTTGCTAGCCAGTTGGAAGACATTCATACCGAATTTGAAATAAAATCCAAAGTTTCTAAAACCACAACAGACAATGGATCAAACTTCGTAAAAGCCTTCTCTGTTTTTGCTGAACAAGAACAAGACAATCATGATAATCCAGATAAAGATGAAGAGTGTCAGTTTGAAGATGTTTTTGATGATTTAACACAGGCGAGTGCAGGTCTGGAGTACCAGCTTCCACCACATCAACGTTGCGCAGCACATACTCTTAATCTTATTTCAACATCTGATGCAGAGAAAGCCGAGGCTGATGGAAACTACAAACGACTTAGCAGGAGTACCTTTGCAAAGTGTTCCAGCCTCTGGAATAAGAGCTCCCGCTCTGTTCAAGTTGCAGAAATGGTTAAAGAAAAGTGTGGCTTAAGTTTGATTAAACCAAATGCAACTTGATGGAATTCCATTTTTATGGCTGTCCAACGCATCAATCGAATCATCAAGGAAAAAGGAGAAAATGTCATTCATAGTGTCTGCTCCCTGGCAGATGTTCCTAAGTACAGTATACTTTATAATTGTAACTTTGTGCATGGGATGGTTGACTGAAATTATGATTTACGAACATATACACTAAACACTCAGCATATGACATAGTATAATTTAGTGAGCTAGCTAAGTGTATTTGTTTCTGTTTAGATTTAAACCTGCAGAAATTTCATTCCTTAATCATTATGCTCAAGTGATGAAACCAGTGGCTCAAGCACTTAACATTTTACAGGGAGAAACAAACCACTCGAATGCATACATGGGTTATCTAGCACCAACGATAACTATACTGAGAGATAAGCTTTCAAAGAAGTTGGATGTTCCAGTTACGAAACCATTGGTCCAAGAATTATTAAATGGAATTGATAAGCGATTTGATTCAATACTAAATGACAAAAAGATCATTGCTGCTGCAATTCTTCACCCCAAATTTAAAGAAAGCTGGTCTACTGATTGTGATGTTATTGAAAGAGGTAACAAATACAATACAACTTGAATATGAAGTGAATTAGTAAGGATTCCCATTATAGACAGCATGGATTTATTTAAACTTGTGGGATTTGTTTATAAATTTTAGGCATTTCCTTCATAAATGAGAAATTAGAGGGTTTGGTAGAACCAGTAGTTGATGAACCTGGACAGTCCTCTTCAGAGGATCAAGATGAGACAGATTTCTTCCAAGCTAAGAACAGGAGATCAAGTGATTGTACTTTAAAGTCATTTCTTGAGAGTCCTGTTGAAAAACTTTGTGATTATGCAAGATGGCCCTTGCTTCGCAAACTCTTTATTGAGCTCAACACACCATTGTCAGCCAGTGCTGCTTGTGAAAGACTTTTTAGTGCTGGTGGATTGATCTTCAGGCCACATCGCTCAAGCATGACGGATACAAATTTTGAAAATTGCATCCTGGTGAAATGTAATAAAGACTTTCTTTGAAGATGTGATAGATACAAATTTTATATGTAAAAGATAAATATATGCTAAGTATGACAGTTGGAAACTTTGAAATTTGCAATCTTGTGATTTGTGAATAAAGAATTTGTTTAAATCTGTTCTGACTGTATGGTTGCTGCATTCAGTACAAAGCTAGTTTTGAAAAATTTGCTGTATTGTATAATTGGGTGAAAATACAGTAAAGTCAGTGAGTAACTCAGTCAGTCTAAATTATAATTTTAATCAATATAAAATGTAACTTGTAACTTGTAACTTGTAACTTAGTTACAAAAAATATATTGTAACTTTGTAACTGTAACTAGAATATATATATATATATATATATATATATATATATATATATATATATATATATATATATATATATATATATATATATATATATATATATATATATATATATATATATATATATATATATATATATATATATATATACTTGTAAAACTTATAATTATAATTATCTATGGCCTGCCTTTGTGTCATATTGAGCACTCTACAGGATGAGCCATTGCTGCTTACGTATTGTGCGCATGCTCACTGCTCGCAGTTTGAGCACTCTTGGCAATGGTTTGATGTCCCACATTCATGAGACATCAAAGGTAACTATTTATAGTGGTTACTTTCATCCTGCTCATCAGCACTACACTGATATATATATACATCAGCACTACACTATTATATTTATACATCAGCACTACACTGATATATATATATCGCAACCATGCGACCGTTCTTCGTTTTCAGTATAGACAGTAGTTTTTGTATAGACACTACTTTATTAAAACAGTTGCTGTAGTTATAGCGAACTACATTTTGCCTAAAAAGCAAATATTAATGAGTGTTGCTTTAAATGTTTCTTATTTCAGGTAACTCTATTGGGCAAGGTGCTTGTTGTCTTCTTGGGCTGGGTCTACACATCATTCGCCGAAACAGATTTTTGAAGGCCTCTTTGTATGTTTTGTCCAGGCAGGCATAAATTATTGGATTGCATAGACTGTTAAAGTATGGAAGTCTGGTTATTACCATGTCAGTTATGTACATCCGACGCCAATAAATGAATGACGAGCTAGCCCAATCAATAAAATTTGAATTGTAGTGCCAAAGCAATATATAAACAAAATGAGGACCCCAGCAAAATATAAACACTCCCACGACAATCAATAACATTCTGATAGTCTTCACATTTTGAATGAAGGCACTTCGTTGGTTTCGATCATTGCAGGTTTGACCAAGTTCGCCATTTCTCACCATCTTTTGTCGTTTACGAACAACAACAAAAAGCAGGGCGTACATAACCAGTATGACTATGACGGGCAGAAAAAATGCACCTACTGCAAGAAAGGTATAGAATTTTTTTTCGTCATTTTCATCGACAGGGCAATATCTCGAGCTTACTTGCAAGATTCCAAAACTCCCTGAATGAGGAGTGGCGGCGTAGGTGGCAAAGGCAGTTGAAGTCATCCAAATGATAAAGATAATTTTCAACGATTTGGAAGTTGTGATTCTGGATCTATATTGAAGTGGTTTCCTGATTTTAAGAAATCGATCAAAACTGATAAATGTCAGTGTATATATAGATGCTGCTAACGCAAACGTGTCTACCCACAGCGTGAAACAACAAAGATGAATAGACATGGCAAATCGCGAATCGAAACCGAGATTGAGGTAATACACCTTCAATGGTTCTAAAATCATACCAACCAAAAGATCTGCGACAGCTAGACAGGCAATAAAATATTTGTTTGGCTGATGAAGACTTCTTTCTCTACATGTCGCAACCAAAACCAAAGTGTTCCCCACAGTTGTAAAAATGGCGAAATTAATTAGTATAATTTTCTCTGCTAAGCTAAGTTTGGCCCAAAATGCAATAAATTTCATCCATTCACTGTCCGTTAATAGACCCATCCCTGTTTGATTTGTATGATTATACATAGCACTGGTATTGTTTGACAACATCACTGAAAAACTTGATCCTAAGGAATAAATAAGAATACCAAACTGGTCAGACAAATTTTAACAAGGTCAGTGTGCGTCATGTATAAAAAAAGTGTGCGGTATATATATATATATATATATATATATATATATATATATATATATATATATATATATATATATATATATATATATATATATATATATATATATATATATATACTGTATATATATATATATATAATATTTTAACTTAAAAT